ATGTGCCCTGGAACACGGCCCACCAGACAGTGGGAAGCCGACACATGGCTCTCAGCGCAGCTGTCTGCCCACAGGCTCCGTGGACAGCAACTGGATCGTGGGCGCCACGCTGGAGAAGAAGCTCCCGCCCCTGCCCCTGACGCTGGCCCTCGGGGCCTTCCTGAATCACCGAAAGAACAAGTTCCAGTGTGGCTTTGGCCTCACCATCGGCTGAGCCCCTCCTGGCTCCTGCCTCCCACTCCCTCCCTCCTTGAGATTCCCCCTGCTCCTCCCCCCAACAGAGGGGAGACCTACGCGCCCCTCCCTCTCCCTTCCCTCCCTCCTTGGTGGTCAGGGGGGCAGCGGAAAGGAGGGGGCCATCACCCCAGCAGCTGAGGGGGGAATTCTAGAACCACGGGCGCTTCAGGACTCGGAGCACCGGGGGCTGTGTGCCCAGTGGACCTGGGGCCCAGAAGGGGTTCTGGAATCGAGGGGCACGCCAGATTCTGAGCACCAGGGGCAGAGGCTGCCAGACAACCTCAGGGAGGTGTTGGGGCATCGCCACCACCCCCCAAAGATCATGGGGCCCCGCCCCAAGGGGGCAGCAAGAAGAGGAGCTTCCCCATCCCAGGTCTGCCCTCCACCCACTTTCCCATCCACTCCTCGGTATAAATCATGTTTATAAGTTATGGAAGAACTGGGACATTTTACAGAAAAAAAACAAAAAATATACATAAAAAAAAAACGAAATGGGAGGCCTGGTTTTCCTACTTGTCTGCCCCTCTGTTCATTCCATCCAGCCTGATCTCCCCATGGTGGCCACAGGGGGGTGCCACAGGGCTGGGGTATGGAAGGATGATCCAGAAACGGAGTCAATCCTGGCTGCTAACAGGAGCCTAACTTAGAGAGGGAAGGGCCTGGCCCAGGATCACAGCCTCCCTGGGACATCACCGGCCTCTCCAGGAGGGTGTGGGCTTGTGGTCACTGGCTCCAGCTTGGTCTGGCCAGAGAGGCTGCAGGGGACTTTGTGCCTTCGGAGGTGAAGCAACAGGAATGGTACTGTCAGTGCAGAGGTGGGGGGCTGCGAGCTGGGACTCTGGGGGCTTTCCAGATTCCAAAAAGGGCAGGGGATGTTAGGATTTCTGTCCGCTAGGGAGGGCAGAGGTTTCCTGGAGAATACAGGCACCTGGAAACAATTCAGAATCACTATCTGACAAAGAACAAAAGATAAATTACACTTAAAAATTGTAAAACCTTTTTTGCTTTAAAGGACACCATCAAGAAAGACAAAACAACCCATACAACGGGAGAAACATTTGCAAATCTAATACATGATAAGGATGATGACGGAAAAAATAAAGTTAACTGGGAGAAAGGCATGAGTTTAGGATTGGGGGGCGGGGGGTCACCTGTGTCTCAGGTGTCTGATGCTGGGAGGAGAGATCAGTTGGCCCGCCTGGGGCTCAGGTAATCACCCCTGACTCCCTAAGGGAACTGAAAACCCTGTCTGCCACCCATACATACCCAGGGCTTGGGAGGAGGCTGCTGAGCAGAAATGAACCCTTATTGCCTGGAAAGCTACAACACCCATTTCCTGTCCACATCTGGCCTGACACAGGCCCCCTTCCTGGGACCAGGGGTTTGGCCTCCCCTGACCCCATGGGGTCCAATTCCAGTTCTCCCTGTGTGGCCTCGCCATCTGTCTTAACCTCGTGAAATAACAGCTGCTAGGAGGTTCATGTTGGAGCTCTCGCAGCAGTTAGGTCTGAGATAAGACTCACTGTGAGTGAGGTTCTCAGTACTTCACAGTACAGCAGGTTCTCAGCGTTTTGGTCATTTCCTTACATTGAGATGCTCTAGGAGCTTAACTCCTTTATATCCCTTAGCCCCTGGGAAAATGCGCTTCGTTAAACATTTTACCGCAGTTCCAAGGACCATCTATTGATGAGGTTACATGAGGACTTACGTAGCTTCTTGCATCACTGAACGATGGTGTAAGTGCAGTTGTTTCCCCCGTTACGTGGACCAGAAACTGGATGTTCAGACAGGCTTGGTCATATGCCCAAGGTCACACAGCTGGCAAGGGACAGCCCGGTTCAGGCTGGGCATTGGGTTCCAGAGTCTCCAGTCCTAACTGGGCAGCATGAAAGCTCCAGGCCTGTGGAGGCACGATGTTTGGGCAGCTGGAATCCACAATGCTGGTGCTGGACTGAATTTCCTCATCTGTGCCCAAGGTCACAGCCAGCGAGGGAGTGAGGACTGAGACCCAGGTTCCATTCTCAAAGCCTAGGCTTTCATCACACTCCCCACCCTCCCGTCTCATTTCTGCCACCAGTTCTCTTCTCCCTCGGACCCAGGGATCCAAGCCCCCAGCCCCCTCCTTCCCCTGACCCAGGATTTCCTGCCCCCTCCCCCAAATTTGATTCATCAGTGGCTGCCTGCTCCTTCCCCTTCCATGCCCAGCCCCACAGAATTGAGGAGGGCGCCTGAGTTTCTGGGTGAGATGTCACCTCCCCTCCTGGGGGCTGGGGGCATCACAGAGCCTCCAAGCCCCACCTCCTTCCCCCTGCTCGCTGTGTGAAGGGGGAGAACAGCCCACCTCGTGACCAGGGGCTGGCCCAGCTGCCCTAGCCCTGGAGGAGTGGGCGGGGCAGGGGAGCCCTATAATTGGAGGAGTCCGGGATCCCTGAGTCCTACTCAGCCAGAGCGGAGGCGAAAGACTGGTTGCTCAGGAGTCGGTGAGAAGCAGAATTGGGGGCACAGAGACCAGCTCAGGGCCTCTGGGGGGGGGGACAAGCTGGGGAGGAGGAGGTGACCGTCCTATGTCTGAGTCAGAAAAAGCAGAATCTGGGGATAACTCTGGAGGCGGGGGCCGGGGTGGGGGGAGCTGGACTTTGGCG